GTATATTTTACTTAACTAATTATTTTATTATTAAACTATTATTAATCTAAAACTAAACTATTCTTTTACTTAAAAAAGACTTTAAGAATTTAATAATCTTTTTTAAATAGTTAAGGTTTTAAAGCTCTTAAACTAATAGTTTATAATTTATATTATTAAAAACCTTAGTTATATTTAGCTATAAAAAAGATATTACTTTATTTTTAACTTAAGTTATTTTAATTATTTTTATTATTAATATAATTATTATTTTTATTAATTTTTATTTTCTATTTCTTATTTAACTATTAAAGAGGAGGTAGTTTACCTTTATTATTACTTTAATATAAATAGCTAATATCTTTTCTAATAGTTTACTTATAATATTAAGGAAAGTAATTAGCTTTTAACCTTTTACTAAGTAAAGTTATAAAAATATCTTACCTAGCTTTTAAAGTACTATTATAATCTTAAAATAATACTATATTAAGAAATAACTAATATTAAAGAAGGTATTATAAAGCTTTATTAGGGTAATAATAATTAAAGGGCTTAATACTTTTAAGAAGCTATATAAGATCTTATTAAAGCCTAGAGTATTCTAGAATATATATCTTCTTAGTATTTTTATTACTTTATCTTTAGTAACTTATATTAATACCTTTATTAAGTCTTAAATAAGTAAAGTTTTAATATTAATCTTTTTTATATTTAGCTTAAGGCCTTTTATTAGTTTAAAAAAAAACTTCTTTATTAGGATTTTAGCTTTTTCTTTTTTAGTTATTATTAAGGTTACTAGGCTAAGTTAGTCTAGGTATAATATAATATTAAAGATATACTTTATAATAAACTTCTTTACTTATTTATATTATTTTTATAAGGCTAGTATATTTCTAAGTAAGTTAAAATATATTTTCTATACTACTTTTTATATAATAGCTAAGGCTTAGGCCTATATTATCTTTACCTTTTATATAACCTCTTAATTTACTTAGTTCTATATTCTCTAGGCTTTTTACTATATTTATTTAGTATCTAAGATAGCTATTTATACTAGTTTAGCCTATTATAAAGGTCTATATTCTCTAAGGGGGGGCTATTTTAAGTACTATATACTATATAATTTCTTATAAAGTTATTAATAACTATTAATATATAGCTTTTATATTATCTAGGTTTTTAATTAGTAAGCTAGCCTTAGCTAAAAGCTATATTATAGCTTTTATTTTTATAATAAAGATATTAATTTTATTTTACTTTTTTATAAGCTTAGTATTTTTAAGTTTATAAAAGTATCGCTTAAGTAGTTATAAGGTATAATTAAAGCTAGTTAGGCCTTAGTCTAGTATTTTATATTTTATATTTAAGGTAAGGTCTATTTAAAGGAGGTTTAGGGTATTAGTATACTAATTATACTAATACTAGGTTATTATACTTAGGGGGGTTACTAGTATTATCTTAATCTAGGCTAGTGCCTTAATTATCTTATCTACCTATAGTAATTTCCTTTTATAAAGGTCTTAAGATAGGTAGTAGAGGTTAAAATCCCCTACTACTATATATAGGATGCCCTAGGCTAAGGGGAGGCTATTATTTTATTATATTACTTTTTATAATTATAAG